GGAGCTATGCACTTTTAGATCAAGATTGAAAACTCGTTTCTTTAGAACTGATTTTTGTGTTCAGTTTGTTGTCCTTTCCCCGCACCTCCGATTAGCACGGTTGGCTACGTACGGTGCAAAAGAAGTTCAGGAAAAATACACACATTGGCCGACCTTTGAAAGACATTCAACCAAAAGTCATAATCTTTTTTTTCAAAGCCACAAAATTGGCCTGAAATCCAGTATGGGAAAATAATTGAAAGACACTGATCCCCCAAAGTGTGGGCTTGTGTTCTCTGGGCTTAAAAAATACCACTCAGCCATGCTATAATCTCAAATGCAATGGCATTAACACATGAGTAACTTGGTACATTGTGGTTGACGAATGTCAAGAGGGATAAAGCAATAATCGTTGGTAAATGCGGTCTCAAACTAGGAGTTGTGACAGCACAACGGCCGAGTTAGAGTGATCGAAATTACGCTGAATCGGTGCATGAAAAAATACAAAAGACCTTTGATGCTCTGTATAAAGGAGAATATTCCCATGAGGTTATCCCAATGTCCGTTGAGGGCAATAAGACACCTATACTTTGACTGGGAAGAGTAACGTTGATTTGCAAAACACACACACACACAGCAAAAAAACACCAGCAATTGATTCCTTATTGATTCCTCCACCCATGATGAGGACTCTGTCTATACCAGGCCGACTGTGGCACCTCATCCATGCTGTGCTCAACCACCACACTGCAGGTCACAACAACGCAGTCACCGACTCACTCACTCACTCACCACACTCCAGGTCACAACAACGCAATCACTCACCGACTCACTCACCACACTGCAGGTCACAACAACGCAATCACTCACCGACTCACTCATCCACCCACTCACCATACTGCAGGTCACAACAACGCAATCACTCACCCACCCACCCACTCACCACACTGCAGGTCACAACAACGCAATCACTCACCGACTCACTCACTCACTCACCACACTCCAGGTCACACCCACGCACTCATTCACCCACTCACTCACCATACTGCAGGTCACACCAACGCACTCACCCACCCACCCACTCACCACACTGCAGGTCACAACAACGCAGTCACTCTCCGACTCACTCATCCACCCACTCAGCACACTGCAGGTCACAACAACGCACTCACCCACCGACTCACCCACCCACTCACCACACTCCAGGTCACACCCACGCACTCATTCACCCACTCACTCACCACACTGCAGGTCACACCAACGCACTCACCCACCCACCCACTCACCATACTGCAGGTTACAACAACGCAATCACTCACCGACTCACCACACTGCAGGTCACACCCACGCACTCACCCACCCACTCACCATACTGCAGGTCACACCAACGCACTCACCCACCCACTCACCACACTGCAGGTCACAACAACGCAGTCACTCTCCGACTCACTCATCCACCCACTCACCACACTCCAGGTCACACCAACGCACTCACCCACCCACCCACTCACCACACTGCAGGTCACAACAACGCACTCACCCGCCCACCCACTCACCACACTGCAGGTCACACCCACGCACTCACCCACCCACTCACTCACCACACTGAAGGTCACACCAACGCACTCACCCACCCACCTACTCACCATACTGCAGGTCACAACAACGCAATCACTCACCGACTCACCAGACTGCAGGTCACACCCACGCACTCACCCACCCACCCACTCACCACACTGCAGGTCACAACAACGCAATCACTCACCGACTCACTCACTCACTCACCCACTCACTCACCCACTCACCACACTGCAGGTCACACCACTTCTCTGTAAGCTTCTTTCCTTGCACTGCTCAACTTTGGAATTCACTCTCATCGTCTCTTTTCTCAAGTTCTTAAAATAATAATATAACTTCTAGATTTAAAGCTTTCGTGACTGCAAGGATCCATACTCTTTGGTTCTATTAGGTAAAGTCACTTAAAAAAACAACAACAACACAAGTGGCCTTCATCAGGTGAAGGGAGCAGACTGTCTAGAGGACAGCGCTGGATGTTTTTTTGTTTGAGAGGAGACCTGATGGCTCATTGGGACATTCTGTCTACAGGAAACCCACCCACACAGATTCCTACTTGAAACCTGATTCCCACCACCACCCGACACAAAATAATTCTCTCATCAAAACGTTATACCACACGGCTCATTGCATTTCGGACCAACACCACCTGACCAGTGAATTAAAACATGTACATCTGGCCCTAAAAAGGAATGGATACTCTGACCGTACCATCCGCCAAGCTGTTTCTCCCTCCATACAGAAACAACCACTTGATACTCCGATCAAAACCATCACACTGCCATATATAGCAGGTGTTACTAAAAAGATCTCCAAAATTCTAAACAAACACAAGATCCTGGTTCGGTTCAATACAGTACACAAAATCCGTGATCTGATCCCTTACATGAAGGATGTTATTCCTGACTTACAGTACACCGGAGTTTACAAATTGATCTGCACCTGTGGTGACTGCTATATCGGGGAGACGAAACGACATGTCTCTGACCGAATTCGTGAGCACAAATCAGATTTGAAACACGGCAGAACGAATTCTTCTGCCGTAGCTTATCACTGTTACAACACTGTGGGTGATCACGATATAATTTTATCCGATACCAAGGTTCTTTGCAAACCCACGGGTTTTTTATCAGACATTTGTTCACGAGGCAATTTAGATTTACAAACACAGACACAATTTCAACCGAGAGGATGGTTTCAAATTAAGCAACCATTGGAAAGATGTTCTGAATCAAACCAAACATTAAACTAATTTTCAATGGTACAGTATATTTTTTCAAGTAGTGGTATCCCAAACTTTCGCAGCTGCTTAAATTATTTTTTACACCATCAATATGTAAACTCCCCCCTCCCCCCCCCTCGCCGGTCTGCACTTGCTCCCCCCCTATACATCGTTCATCATGCTAAGTCCGCCAATTAAATGCTAATTTTTATGCTAATTCCTTTGTCAAGGCGCTCTGCTTCCTCTCACACAGCTTAAAGGTCGCGGTCTGAGCTTGGCTGTGTTCACTCCAGCGCTGTCCTCTAGACAGTCTGCTCCCTTCACCTGATGAAGGCCACTTGTGTTGTGGCCGAAACGTCGTGAATTTTTTGTTGTTGTTTTTTACGTGACTTTACCGAATAGATCCAAAGAGTAATAATATAACCTCGCTCAAATCCAGGAGCATGAACCCTGACCTTTAAGAGTGCTGTTTGTTGCTGGTTGCTTGACGTTTCGGCCATGTGCGCAGAAACTGTGATGCAAGAAAATATGCAAAAACTAAAATCGAATAAACGATCACAAATCCGAAGTAGGATGTTCCTGATAAAGAGTTTTAAGAGGCCATGATAATTTCCTGGGCAATTTAAGAATGAATGGAATGTTCTTGTCTTCCTCGTAAAAAAATGTTACAATCTGAATCGTCCCTGACGTATATAGGTGAAGGACTTCGGATTGAATTCCATGCCGCAGTGCAACATGCATATTCAGACTAAAAAGCCTTATGTATACACGAGTGAATAATTCCAATTATTAATAATAGATGCCAGAAATAAACTATTCATTTGAGGCCACTTTGCTCTACTTGCGAATTAAATATCTTTCTACCAGTTAACAAAAACGTAAATATGTTTCTATCAGTTAACAAAAAAGGGGACACTTTCAATTTAGCTGAGCGTACGTTTCAATTAATCACATACACCTACTTTTGAAAAAGTTAAGTATGATTGGTCCACACCAAGGGAGGGCTTTCTTTCGTCCCTTGGTGTGGACCAATCAGTTTCAAGGACAATGCATATATTATCATAGTGTGTTTTTTGTTTGCATTTTGACTGCAGGTATTGTGGTTAATGCAGTAAACATGAATCCTTGTAAAAAGGTTTCAGTTTTGTTGCCAGAAAAAAGGGGAAACATCCTATTATTCTAGGGTGAACTCATTTATTTCAACACCGACATTTCAATGTATGAATAGCCTATTTTTAAAGGTAATATTTTATTTACTTTTATTTTTCCTGTGAGGGTCACCTCAAATCTGTCGTTTTCAAAACTCCACCAAGAAACCCCGAATGAATTGAGACAAAGCGCAATTGATGAACGTTCAAACATTACAAAAGACAATTTATGCATGCATGCATGTTAATGGAGGTCAGTTTTAACATTTCTTAAAATAAATGAAATAACCCTGTGTGATATGATAAAATAAATATAATAACCTTATCCGTCCTGACTTTTTGGCTCACCCCGTGCATATATAATAGATGACATTTGGGGCAATGACCCTTTTGCATTGTGAAGAGAAAAAACATTGTCCAGCACATTGGTTGGATTATTAAAAAAATATATACAGCCTTTTGCTTCATGGTGGACATTAGTAATCCAGTAGGCCGTGTCTTCCGGTGTGCAAAAAATTCGCCAAGTTGGAAAACCCAAAAGGACAACATCGCCCCCAGACTGGTCAGACGAGTGTCCACTTGCAGGACTGTGCTGCATAGGGATGCTTGCCACTGGGGTCCCCTAGGCAACACTGCCGTAGGGCAATGGAATGGTTGACATGACATGATGTGAGGAGCTGTGAGTTGCTGAGGAAAATATAAGCACCTCATGAATGTTCCGTGTAAATATTTGGTCTTGCTTTTGCTTTCGATACTTTTGCACATTCCCACTCTACAATGTTCTGTAGCTACCACCGCAGTCGATTGTCTGTGGGGCTGTCGTCCTCCAGGCGTGGTGCTGGCCACCCAACCCCTCGCGTGCCGTGCGGGCCTTCATAGGTACTCGCTAATGGCCCTTACGCCTACAGTCTGTCAAGGCGACACGGGGGGGGGGATCTTCGCCATTGCAACAGAGCTGCCCAGCTCAACGGAGCCTTCCTTACCGGCTGAAATAACGAAACACGAGTCTGAAACGCAAATCCACGCGCGATACTTTTTTTGCCGCCGATCCGAAACGCCCTCCGTCTCTTTTGCAGTTTTTCGTGTTCGTGCTGCTCATCTTCATCGTGGAGCTGGTGGGAGCCGTGACGGCCTTTGTCTTCAAAACCCGGGTGAGTGGGCCGTGAGTACGGAGTGCAACCCCTCTCATGCGACCACCTCGGGGGGGGGGGGGGGGGGGGGGGAGGAGGGTGGCAGCGGGTCATCAAAGCGTTATGCGCAACGCACGGCGAGCAAACGTGCCCCAACGCGCGTCTTCATAGGGAGTCAGCCCCTAAGGGGGCCCTGGATATTTAGAGACGGCCCACACGAATGTCACACGCGTGGGTCGCCCCGCCGTTTCTCTTCCCCCGCAGACGCTCAGCGTGAGTCAAGGAATTACCAGAGTGCTCCGTCGCCCTCAGGGCTTCGGTAATACTTCATCCGGCACACATACGATGCTTACAGGCTCGGTGAAGTTATCGGCAGTCCCACGTGTATCAATGTACACGTGTATGTATGTTCATATGTATGCTCGCATGTATGCACGTATCCGACTTGGCAATGCAGTGGTTCGAGCGCCACTAGAACAATCATCAGGTTGCGAGTTAAAATCCCAGTCTAAGTGGGTTGAAGTAACCCGTCATTCTACTGCGGTTGAACACTGTGCTGAGGAATTTATTTTGCTTGAAAAAAACTCTCCCAAACCGGGTGCCTTCAGCATGGCCTGCTGCAACCCTCAAGGCTGCAGGGTAAAGCAAATTATTGTGGCATTCGTACCCTTCTGCAGCGGCATGTTTATTGAATGCTGTGCTCCTTTGTGCGTTACGGCTCTACCTCTTAATATTTTTTTGAAACCTCCATAAATGTTTTACTCGTCACTTATCCATACGGGCGGTGGCAATGTTGGCAGTGTATTCGACTCGCGAATGGGTCGTTGTGAATATACCGGGGCATACCGGGCGTGGCGAGCTCGGGCTGCAAGGTGTACCAATAGGTGGCACTTCACCAGTGGATTGAATCTAACTGCATGGGGAGTGCGGTGAGGTTGCTTTGCTTAGGCCCATCAGCCAAGACTTCAACAACGAACCAGCACCGCCGACTCACGTTCCAATCCCCCTTCTGGGACCGCGTTCTTGCTGTCACCATCCTTGAAGTCTCATGCAGATCCGGAAGGACGCTGGCGAACAGAGTGGGACAACCCAGACGTCCAGAATAAACACCTCATTCCAGACCCAAAACGTCAGAAACCTCCCGGTTTTGACTACAACTAAACTAACTATTTTCATATTAGCAGGTGAGACCGACTGAGCTAGATTCAGAAGTGACCTGGCCACAAATGATAATTAAATCAAGTGGCTTATCATCGGGAAATTTGTGGCAGCCAAATATACTTCACGCGTGTTCATTCTAAATGTGGAGGGAAAAACCGAAGGACCTGGTGAAAAATCCACGTGACCACGGGGAGAACATGCAAACTCCAAATAAACAACAGGCATCAGGCTCGGGATCGAACCCACACCCTCCTGTACACAAGGCAAGGTAGTTAACATCTCGCCACCGCAACTTTCCTCGAAGACACTGGTAGAACCATTATCTGCATCGGAACATCAACAGGCCGATGTGCACACCTTCATAAATGGGAAATGAAAGACAAGCCAAAGTGCGATTGTGGCCACGCAACCCAAACTATGGACCACATATTAAATTCCTGGAGCCTCCGCTCCTTCAACAGGAGAGGAATAGCAAAACTACACAAACTCTTTCCTGAACCCCTCGCGTTTTGGCTCGCAGACCTCGACTGTGGCATTTTGCTCCTAGAAAGATTGCCATGCACAATTAAAGAATCGTGCTATTTTCTCATATGCGTGGAATGCATGTGAGCACTCCAATTTCCTCCCACATGTTAAACGCTCGTAAGTGGAATTTGCCAAACATCTCAAAACAGGACCGTCCTGAAAAAAAAAAAACCCTTAAACGTGATACTGCATTACCATGGAACTTCTTTTGCATCGTACGTAGCCAACCGTACTTATCGGAGGAGCGGAGGAAGGAGACCAATCTAAACACAAAAAGTAGTTCTGAAGAAGTTCGTTTTCAGTCGAGTTTTAAAAGTGCGGAGCTAAAGTGGCTTCCTAATATCGAAAGAAAGAGCGTCCCAGTTGGTCGCAAATAAAGCACGCTCCGATCAAAGTTGTCTTGGTAAATGAGTTAGAATTATGGTGGAGAAAGCCACTCATGCCTGCCTTCATTTGTTGATACGCTCCACCAGATATATTTTTTTTATTTTAGGCTGAAGGCCCAGAACAGGTTCAGAAACCAATTAACGCTGATGTGCCTGACTTGGAAATTAACCAGGGTGACGAGCATTTGTGGCCAGTGTGCCAATCATTACGCCACCATATTGACAGATGTGCATACAATACACCTCACACAAACATGCATCCGCACGCGCAACTCGAGAATGCACAATTAGAAATTAGCGTTCATGATTGTATAGCCATTTGTCAATCCGCTTTCTGGATGAAGACCTGCCCATGACATTTCAGTCGTGGTTGTTATTTTTACTATAATTTGCTACACTGCTCAGTGTGGGTGCGTGAATTAGGCAGCGCTGGATGGGTTCAGGTATCATTCGCCACTGATGATAGCCGTGGCTGGTAATGGGACATAGGGCGAGGGGTTCACAGCTCAGTGTGCTATACCACTACGCTCCTACTGCACCCCTAGATTCGAGTGGATATATCCCCAAATAAGGAAGGGACTGATGCTTGCGGCTGATGGGTGTGGCATTGTGTGCCAGTGTGTGTGGGGAGCGGTGGGCTAGCGACCCGGGTTCGATTCCCGCTCATGGCCAACACTGGTGACGATTATTTGAACCGGTCCTGGGCCTCCCCTAGGTAGACTCAGCCTCAATTGAGTACCTGGTACGGTGTGTAAACATCGCCACTGGGGAGACAAAGGCGGCCGGGCATGGTGCTGGCCACCCACCCCCTCGTGTGCCATGCCGGCCTTCATAGGTGCTCGCTAACAGCACTTGCCCCAACAGTCTGTTCAGGCTATATGGGGGATCTTTATCTTTGTGTGTGTGGGGAGCTTGGTGGCGTAAGGATTAGCACACTGCGCTACAAATCCGGCGACCTGAGTTCGATTCCCGTTCACGGCCAACACCAGTGACGATAATCTGAACCGGTCCTGGGCTACCCCTAGGTTGACTTAGCCTCGAATGAGTACCTGATGTGGTGAGTCAACATCGCCACTGGGGAGACAAAGGCGGTCGGGCGTGGTCCTGGCCACCTACCCCCTCGTGTGCTGTGCTGGCCTTCATAGGTGCTCGCAAACAGCACTTGTCTTTTGTGTGTGTGTGTGTGTTTTTTATGGGTTTACACAGCATGTTGAGGCCGCACCCCCAATGTGGCAATGTTGATTTCGAACATCCTGCATGCAGCACTCGAGATAAGAGAAAGGCACTCATTGCTGTTAAGAAAGCCTGGCTGGAAATATTACACTAATGGGTACCTGAATGGTAGCGATATATGGGAAGGGAAGAGTCTCTCTACTATCTCCTTAAAACGCCTGCTCCTTCTATTAGAAACAGCAGCGCCCCTTGTAAACCGCAGTGTTACGATGGAATACCGCAGTGCCCTCTCTCAACCCCAGTGTCCTCACCGCATATTGCAGGGTCAATACCGAGAGGTCGTTACTCCCGCCGCTGTTGATGTCACCACAACTCACCATGGCTTTATTCCTTCTGCTGTAACCCACAACACTTGACCCCCGAGGTCTCTGATCGCAGGGTATCCTCCCCATGGCTTTAACTCTTCACCTTGGTCGCCACACCTCTGGGCGCCAATGTGATCCCTGTCTCGGTGACCTGCCTCTTCCATCCTCCGAACGCCCCAGCCGTCAAATGATCCCCTTTCTGAGTGACATCAGGAATGCTTTCTTGCCATGTTTTATTCAAAACTTCCAAGTTGCTTACCCGATCCTTCCGTGAAAATAACAGTACTCGCTTACTACATGCACTAATATTCAAAGGCCAGAATATGTTGCATGTAATCGCTTTGGTTAAAGTCCACCTGTCTGAATCCTATAGTAGCCCAAATTGGATTATAGTGACTGTAATTGCTCGTTTAAAGCATCTCTTAAGCCCCTATATCGTGGCTGGCTATGATCCAATCAGACTTGATACAACATATTTCGGAAAAACTATTCAAACAATTATTTTACCAGGTAAGGCCCAAAATTCTCACGACGTTTCGACCATAACACAAACGGCCATCATCAGGTGTGAAAACCAACGGCAAGAAACATTTGAAAGAAGCGGCGGTTTACATTTATTTATAAACGGTGTGCATTTATTTATTTAAAAAACGTTAGCGCCACGGGCACCGATTTGGCAGTTTATTTAGAAGGACTAGTCCATCTATGTTCTGAAAAGAGGAGGGGGGAGACGAAAAATTACTGTATGCTGTCTGAAAGCCACCGTAAGCGTGATCAATTAAGACCTGAAATGGTTTATCAAATCCTTCCCAGAACATAGATGGACTAGTCCTTCTAAACAAACTGCCAAATCGCTGCGCGTGGCGCTGACCTTTTTAAAAAAATAAATAAATACAAACACCGTTTAAAACTAAATAAATAAATGCAAACCGCCACTTCTTTCAAATGTTTCTTGCCGTTGGTTTTCACACCTGATGATGACCGTTTGTGTTACAGTCGAAACGTCGTGAGACTTTGTATTGTTTTATATATATTTTATTATTTTATTGTTTCCCTTCAACGTGACTTTACCGAAAGAGCTAAGAATATGAATTACTGCAGTCACGAAAGCTTTAAATCTAAATTTTTGCTGTATCCTCAGGAAATTCAAATCTGTTGCACGTGTTACTTTAAATAAACTATTTAAAAGTCTACTCATGATAAAGCACTGCAGAGAAAAGGCGACAACAGGACGGTCTCTGCATCGCGCTCGCTCAAGACGCGCTTCTGCGGCCGTCTGGAACGCTCTTTCTTCCGATATTAGGAATCCCCTGGAGCTATGCAGTTTTAAATCTCCGTTGAAAACTCACTTATCTCGAACTGCTTTTTGTGTTTAGTTTGTTGTGCTTCCCCCGCACCTCGGATTAGCGCAGTTGACTAGGTACCGTGCGAAAGAAGTTCAACCATACATGCGTACATCACTTGTCCACACGCTCCACCACTCGTGCCCATGCAGTTGCTTCATCATCAGCAGCTGCGGGGTTTGCGCTGTGCACGTAACGCCGCTCAACAGCCTGAGCGCTCTTCTTGCCGAAGCATTGCAGCAAAGGATTTATAGTGGGTCCTACTATACGGCAATTATATAAACCATTGTGCTTTAATGCAAAGGCAATGAGCCATAATGGGCAACGTCTTAATTATAATTAACAAGTTAATCTTGATTTGGAAATGGGCTCAAAAAGCAAAGGGTTTTTTTACATTAACAAATAAAGGATGGTGCTGCGTGACAGTGATTACATGAAAGCTGCAGCCTCAACGCGATTTTTTTTAAATTATTATCTCCACAGTCATGGGTAAAACTTTCCGAACAAATATAGTCCACGGTTTGAACATACGTTTAGGTTTAGTCGTACATATGCCTTCGTCTGTCTGGTATTTTGTTTGAGTTTGGTTTTTTATACCGCTGCGTTGCACTGGTTTGGTTGTCACTTATTGACCCAGGTTAGCCGTTCAAAGTCTCAGTGGGTTTTCGTCCAATAAGATGCACATGCACAGCCCATTTTGCTAATCCACTGCTGGATGATTGCCTTCCCTCACCATGGAACTCATGGGGGTTATTTTTACATGGGGGTGGATGTTGGAGCATAGTGCAGTACAACAATGGTTATTGCTGCACTGCTGTTTGGTGGCAACATGGGCCCTTAGCAGCCTGTACCACCTCGTGTATGCATATTGGTCACCCATGCGAGCACTATCCAGGCTTAACCCTTGCTTAGCTTCCGATATCTGATGAGGTCGGGCAGGCGTATTCTGTGTGATTTGGTCGTAGGTCAAATGTAGGGATATTATTCGTTAAATGTGTTACGCTCGTGATACACAAATTGAATTGCCCATGTAGGGATCAATTGTTTTTCATACAAATTTATACCACGGTAGATTACATGGACGATGTGAATTTCATAGACCCTGCAAATGCCACACTGAAAGACTGGTAACACCGTAGTCATTGATCCATGAATAGCATTGCGACTGCAAATTGTGAACATTGATCTCATGTTGGGTGGGCAGAATTGTTGTCATCCAATTTTGCATATTACCTTTTTACAATTACTGTAATGTGCATGCATGTAAATATATATATCACATACGCGGGTGGTGGCTATGCAAGCCTCTACACAGGAGACTAGGGTTGGTGGATCACACAAATGTTGTGAAATTCCATCCCCGTGGGTGTCGAGGTTTAACGAGCAGTACAGCAGACGCAGACAAATCTCTAACTGTTCCATCTGTACAGGTCAGATGGTTGTCACTCGCACGTGTGGGTTTTCTCTGGGTGCTCCGATTTCCTCCCACACGTAGACACATTAACACCTTCCGTTTCCGACGATGTACGTGTACATCATCAAAACTAAAGCGGACGAAAAATAAAAATAACTTCATCGGTACCGAGGCTCCCACAAGGCCATGCAGGAGGGACGTGTGGCACAGTTTGGCACCAGCTATCATAGAGTGCGGTCGTGTTGCTACAGTTATCTATGGTGAGTACAATTTATTTTTTAAACAGCAGCACTATGCCTCTCTAAATTAAACTAACACTGAGCCGATTGCGCGTTCCGAGATTCAGAGGTGAACGGGGACACCCACCCTGCGACTTGCAGACGTCTCGGCATGGGGAAGCGTTAATTAGCCGAAAACAACTTCATATACAGAGGACGGCAGAGCTTGTGGGGGGGAGGAGGAGTTTGGTGTCTCTGGTTTCTTTGCGCACCCCTGAATATGTCCTGCGATTGAGTGAATGCCGTGTGCTAAATTTAATGCATGCCCATCGCAAGTCTGAATAGTGAGTATTATTGTTATCCTACCTTAACGTAATCCATATAGTGCCATAGCGAAGGCGCTTCACGGAGAATTAAGAATGGTGCATATGAATGTAATGGTGAAGATGAGGTGCATAAAACAGATGAGAGGAAGGAATGGGCGAATCTGTGATGCTTGAATTAGGTGAAAGCAAAGTTTTGCTGATCACACAAACACATTTGTACGTACACCTATAGATGTGCTTGCACAGTCTCACACACACAGAATTGTATTTGTAGTTATGTGCTCATATTCTAAAAAAAAAAATCACTCGTGCCAATGTTTATTTTCATTTGCAGCTGAATGAAGATTTTTTCAAGAATGACCTGAAAAAGCAGTACCGTGGAGACAACAACACAGATGTTTTCTCGAAGACTTGGAACACCATCATGATTTCAGTAAGTGCACGGCAGCCTATTCAAGTCCCTTATTAATCAATAACGCAGAGTCCAGTGTCAATGCACTGCTGGATAAGGGTCCTCCCCATGCTGCGTTGGTCATGAGGGATGTTTGACCATACTTCACCATGCATGTCAGTGCTCGACCGATGAAGCACACAGCCCAACACCGTTTCCGATGTTGCTGGCCACTGATGTTATAGCCGTGGCCAGGAATTGAATCCATGTCGCCAAATCACCCTGAATGTAGCAATCTCATTAGATCTCAGAGCCTGGTTATTTTGGGTATGGGTTACAGTTTCTGGGAAGCCATTAAGGGGAGACTGGCCCAAAGTATAGTAATGTTGAATGTTCATTCGCGCTCTTTCACTTGATTTTTGTTCAGCTCTGATGTAAATCCCTCTACCTGGTACTTGAGCGACCGGGCAGTGCAGTGGATAGAGCGTTTGACTCACACGTTCAGCAGTCAGGCAAAGACTCGGCCCATTGTTTTCTTTTTTTCTCTCAGGGTAGAAATAATTAACAGCACTCTGTGGCAATTCAACAGTGATTGTAATTAATATGGAAACAGCTGTCCTAACAGAGTAGTGTAGAATTTCCACCACAGAAATGAGCACCACCCATTGCTTGGAGATAATTTGGCTTTGAGTTACCAATTGTAATTATTAGGCACTAATTTGCGATTTCATTCTGTGGAGTCACGGATAGTACAGTGTTCACATTCAAATATTCACATTTCACGATTGTAATGAAATTAGGCCAATTTCTTCATTTAATGTGGCAAGTGTTCTCCATGAAGCCACCTGTTTGCATGATGAAAGAATAATCAGAACTGGCTAGCATGCCGAGTATTGCCTGGCCTCACGTGAACCCACTGCTCTCCCACGTACTGACGCGAACGCTGGCCACTGAATAATGACTCCCATCATCTTCTGAAGCTGTTTTTTTTTTCAAAAATAAAGGATTACGTCGAATCACGTCTCTCTGTCTCCAAAGCAACGAGGCAATCCTTCCGTAGATGATGACCATTTGGTAATAGCTAACACCAAGCCACCTTAATCCTTTCAAACTGTAGAATGGAATGCCGTCGTTCTGGTATGTAAAATTCAAGCGGATTTTTTTCTCGTTCTTTTCTCCAAATGTAATGCAATGCACCTGCCCGCCTGCCTCTGATTCCATTCCCAGCGCTGTAGTGCACCACGATGCGTGATGATTAACTGCGTCGCATTAGGCCACGCACATTCTACACCGCCGCTTTTGTCATGGGCTCAAAGCGGTTGGTCACGCGGAGCTACGGTTTGCTATGCCGTGACCGCAGACGTTGACAAATGTGCAGAGAGTGAGGTTGCAGTGATTCCCTCCCCCAGTTATTTGAGGCCAGTGTAAGTAACCATTGGCTGTGTTTATTTCCCCTGTTGTGGTTAGACTCACAACCGGAAGCTTGCAAGTTCAAATCCCGGTCGCGTCACCTTTTCTGTTTTGGCTTAGCACCGTTATTCTCCTGGGCTATTTGAAATGAGTGCCATGAGGTCAGAGTGCTGAGTTGCTGACTTTTAATCACAGGTGGCGACCTGTGATATTTAACGAGGTTCTCAAGTTTAATCACTGCACAGTCAGTTGATAGTCTCTGCTCGTTTGACTGCTGTGGGAGGAACACTTCTCTGTAGCAAGGATTGTGGGAGTATACGGTGCCTGTCTTTGCGTGGATAAAAGGAGTGACTTGAAGATATTATCTTACGGAGGGTACTGTAGTCTCATTCTGCAGGTCTTTCTCGAAATGTTGGTCCATGCCTGTAAGATTGGTAATTCAAGCAACCCCGACTCCGTGTGTCGAAATCGGTTGCAGAGTTTGCTTGTATTGAAGCAATGTTGCTGAAATTAGGCGCTCCCAGAAAGCCGTGCGGCTGATGGGTTGCATGTATGCAGAGCTTCTTTCGCACGGTGCGTAGCCAGCCGTGCTAATCAGAGGTGCGGGTTGTGTAAGAAATACTTTTTTTTTACGTGGAGATGGATATGTGACATTGTCTGCTTATTTATTTTCTCTAACACGGAGTGACGCGAGTTTTTGCCGAGTTGATTCTTTGCCTCGTGCTATTATCCCTACAAACGCAATTGGAATCTTATTGGAGGACAAGGTCTTTTTCAACAAGTACCAGTTTGTGAAAAGTGAACAGATGGCATCCTTGAGACGCAATATGAACAGGCGATATCACCCACTGCTTCACGAATGTTAATGCCACCCCGTCTCACATATGAGCAGGAAAAGACTTTGTCTTTACTTGTTATTGACCTATTACGGTCAGGCTAGCCGTTAGGGGAAGCTCTGGAAATGATACACTTGCAACCTGGGGTTTCAGAGCAGATGATCAACCCACTTGCCGCACTGCCATCTGCTGGCCACCTCGTGATCCAGCAGGCTGGGAGTGACGAAATATGCCCTATGTATGGATGTTGAACTTGGTTCGCGCCGTACGTAGCCAACTATGGTAATCGGAGGTGCTTTAAGATCTCCGATTTCATGAAACCACGTCATAAAACCCCCGTAACCCTTTGAGAACCCGATGCTTTGGGCAGGTGCTCTTTCATCTGAGCGTTACAGTTGGAGAACGGTGATTGGATTTACGGAATTCAGATTTTTTGCAGAATGAATTCATATTTTAGCAGAACGAGACACGTACACAGCGCTGTATACTAATCACACATCACCGAGTAACTGATGGAGATTAAGGTAACATTTCCAGAGGGCGCCCAGCACTTTAAGTGATCCAGCTGCTCCTTGCCGTTCAAATCTCCGCTGGCCCGCAGGCATCCGTCACGAGACACAGAGCGGCCAGAATCACACCCGTCGCTCTGCGATGTGGCAAGCACGCCAACTCAAGCTAGACACAAAAAAACAACTCAACACATTCGTCAATAACGCTGTGGCCTTGAAAGGGGTGACGTTTCGGGCAATGGCCCTTCTTCACGGCAAATAGAGAGGCCAGGAGAGGTGAATGGTGCTCGTGCAAGTGCACCACTGCCAACGCAGTACCACCGCGTGGGCGAGAGATGTTAAGTACCTCGCCTGGTATACAGGAGGTCGTGGGTTCGTTCCCAACCCTGACGCCTACTGCTGTATATTTGAAGTTGGCATGTTCTCCCAGTGGTCGGATTGATTTTTCTCTGGTTCCTCCGTTTTTTTCACCCAACATTTAGAAACTTCCGTTTCGAGTATTTGGCCGCTGTACATTTCCACGTGACAAGCCGCTTTGTTGAGCTATCATTTGTGGCCAGGTCGCTTCTGGAAAGGAGCTTCATAGCTCAGCGGGCCTTGCCTGGTAAAATAAAAGCAATTGTTCCATAGTTTTTAGTTTCAAAAAATTGATCTGAACGAACACCGATGTGATACTTCATCAGACTCATTCAAAACTGAAGCGCCCAACAAGAGCCAGTGCGAAGTTCAAGCGCTACGACCAATCAGTGAAGTACTTGTCAATACGTAGTGCCATTCTCAATTCGCCATCGGATGAAGGCCTCCGTATGCCGCGTCAGCCGTGGGTTTGTTGTCCTTTCCCGCACCCGCTGACGAGCACACACATGACCACAGCCATGAGCCACAAGCGCCAGCCCCTTCCTCTCATGGGGACATACCGACTCGTATCTAGGGGTGCAGCACACTGCGCCGTGGACCCCGCGACCCGTGTTCGATTCTCCGTCACGGCTAACATCAGCGGCATTTTTACGTGAGAGCTACACGTCAGGCACATGACTAACAGAGTGCGAGGCAGGTGAGAGACGAGGCGGAGGCAGACATCATTGGAGCACAGATGAGATTGACAGCGATATGAGAAAAGACAAAGATGCCACGAGGAGAGATACTTGTTGGCAGGGACACAGCAGGATTGATCAGTTATATGCAGACAATAGGCGGATATGTGATGAGATAAGAATTCATTTAGAGAATTCCTGTATAGATGTGGAGAGAGAGAAGAGGAAAAACAAGGCATAGAGAGACACAACAGTAGTGGTGTGAGATCAGAATCAGAATGTGTATTTAGAGTGGAGGAATCCGATGAGCTATGAAGCTATTTTTCAGATGTCCAGTTGGGGTGGGTCAGCAAGTTACAACAACAAACCATACACACAACGACAGGAGTGAAACAGAGACAATTGTCTCTCTCTCTCTATTTGTGAGCAAATAATACATCACTACATTTAAGTCCGATTTATCAAGCTTGCGCAAGGCAGCAAAAACAACAAAACAGTCCCAAGACCACACGAAAACAAGTTATGCAGACATAACTGCATTCACATGAGATATGAGAGAAACAATGACTTTGGTGGACATGGAACATGTGCCCGTGTGAGATAGATGAGTATTAATAAGTAGAAGGCGGAGACGACCAACGCTCACACACCCTCCCAACACCGCGGTGTCATGTGACCACCACGGGCAATTTAGGGCTAATTTATGTCCTATGCAAACATGTGAAATAATTTAAATAATAGGCTGACGTAATTACGTGCATTAACGCGCGGCCTTTGCAACGTTTCAACGATTTAACGTTCAGCCAAAAGCAGTATTAAAGGGGTTACACCGCCATCGATCGGTGGGTTGCGTGTGGTGTGGTGAATTGTCGGTACGCCCGGCTGTTGCAAGTCTCGTGTCTCGCATGGAAAATAAACCCCAAAGATCCCCTCTACAGCGGCTCTCTAGAGCCTCCTCTCGCGGAGAACCTTCCCTTCAACAGTGGCATGAGCAAGGCGATTGCAGGGGCTGTACCTTCACATTTTGTTCCATCTGTTCCTAATTCCGGCTCTCCAATTCACCGCCCAACGACAGATGTAGAGTATCCACTCAAGGCAATGGACTGGCAAATGTTAACGTCGCTTGCCAACACTCTGCGGTAGACTTCACCGTAAATGTGCCTCTTGCCTTCAGGTACGTCTTGCAAACCGTTAGGACAGTGCTGCATACCCCGCATCTGGCCAATTGCGATTTGCCTTTGGGTGCATTTGAATGTATTTGCGCTTCAATTATGAGCGGGCTTTCTATTCTATTCATGCGTGTGGCAGCAATACGTTGTTCAGGAGGCATATGCCAATGTCCAGGTCTGCTAGCCACAACGGGAGGCTTCAAGAGTGAGTTTGTGTAGTTTTGCTCTTCCTCCTCCACTGAAGGAGCACTGACGACAATGGTTTACTACACGGTCCATAGCTTGGGTTGCCTGGCGACAATCGCACTACTGCGGCTTGTATCATGAAGGAGAGGCGTGCATCGGCCTGCCGGTGATGTTCTCATCCGGTTGACAGTTGCTCCAGTGGCTTCGACGAGGAGGAAGAGGAATGCCAAAGCCAGGAGGTGTGATGTTTGGACCTCGAATGAGGGGTTTACTCTGAAAACGACGGCATGAGCAGCACGTTTATCAGGGCATGCCCAGTTGCTTCCCTCCCATCAGGCATGAGCCCAATACACACAAACGACGGTGCGAGCACACCCCACATTGCTGCGGCCGTGTCTGAGACGTGTAACGTTGGATTATAAATGTCGGCCTCTCTACGGCCAGCCACACATGTGATGTGTATATGGGAGGATTCCAGCACGGACAGATAAAATCAACTTAAGTATTTTTTTATTTATTTTACTAGGTAAGGCCCACTCAGCTATATAGATCTTTTCAAGAAGCGACCTGGCCGCAAATGATAGCTCAACGAATTTGTTTCTCATGCGGAAATTGATAGCGGCAAAATACTCTCAGCGCATGTTTCAAAAATGTGGAGGTGAAAAACCATAAGACCCGGAGAAAAATCCACGCGACCATGGGGAAAGAGATCATGCAAACTCCAAATATACTGCAGGTGTCAGGGTCGAGATCCGGGATAGGGATCAAACCGACGACCTCTTGCATACCAGGTGAGGGACTTAACATCTTCCCACAGTGGCACCCCTGTGGAGTGGGGTCACAGCCCCACTTTTGAATTTGGGGGTGTCCCAGCAGCGCTGTGCAAGGGAGTCGAGGGCATTCATCTAGAGAGGTTGTTGACTGTGACTGTGTGTTCTGTGCGCATGTGCAACTGACGGTGTGAATATCTGTGTCTTGTGTATTAGCTGTGGGGAGCAGTTCTGTAGCGGTGACCCGAGGTTGATTCCCGCTCACGGCCAACACCAGTGACGATTATTATGAACCGGTCCTGACCTTCCCCCAAGGTTGACTCAGCCTCAGATGAATACCTGGTGAGGTGTGTTAACATCATCATTCGGGAGCCAAAGGTGGCCTGGCATGGTGCTGGCCACCCGTCCCCTTTTGTGCCCTGCCATCCTTCATAGGTGCTCGCTAACAGCACTTGCCCCCAAAGTCTGTTAATGCTATAGGGGGGATCTGTGTCTTTGTTAGCTGTGTATGTTTGTGTGGCAACTGCGTGTAGTGTGTGTGTGTGTGCTCACAATATGGTGGCTGCCCCTCTTCCATGGACACAGAAGAAGGGGATAAACTATCCCAGAGAGCCTTGTGCCAGCCAGAGTAGAAGTGGCCACCAGCATTGAGGCTCAGAGCCAGTGGTTTAAATTGAACATTCCTGCGACGACGGTCAGTCTCTTATAGCAATCACTGTTAAGACAGCCCACAAAGTGGTATCATTCCTCCATCCCAGAAGGTTAATGTGTTGAGTTGGCAACGAACCAGGCTTTGAACTCGAAACCATCACATTTTGAGCCGAGCACTAGCCACAGTGCCTCCTGGCCAGATCTCGTGCCATTAACTTATTGTATTTGGCATTGGACGCATAGCTATGCACATATAAAGCACTGCAGTACAATTTTACCCATGGCCCTCTGTGCATTACTAAGCCAAACACCCCCGTATTGCTCATTACGCTTGCACTTACGCTGATTAGTTGCTGACACATGACCCTCACCTCTGTGCCTCATATGTTTTTCAGGAAATGCGGGCAACTGTGCGCGTACTGTACGCACGTTTTAAACGTTCACCTTATTATCGGTCCTGACAAAACGTTTAATGCTCAGCGATGTTGATGAAATAAAATAAATCATAACAAAACAGACCGGTGTTGTTTTACTTTTTGGAGGTTAAACAAATGTGCATCGTATTCGGCATTTCCCAAACTTTCATAAAATAGCTAACGTACAATCCAGACATTTGGCACTGTATAAAAATTGATGATGTACAATCCAGCCACATGACACCTCAGATTAGCACGGCTGGCTACGTACGGTGCAAAATTAATTCATCATACATACACACACACACACGATTCGCAATCCCAAGATGAGCTCAATAAAAAAAATCGTAAATGCTGACTGAGCGCTGCTCAGGATGTGCGATGAGCTTTTCCTCTCCCCATCCCCCACCCTGTCACCCCTGTCTCTGTTTGCAGCTGAAATGCTGCGGAGTAAGTGGTGTGGACGACTTTGGGAAGGACTCCGTCTTCCACGAGCTCTACCAAATGCAGCCCATGCCGGAGGCCTGCTGCAAGCGGCAGATGAACGGCCAGGAGGGCCACTCCATCAACAAGACCAGGTGCTTCAGCCAAGACCCAGACTTCTACAACAAAGAGGTACCTATCTTCTTCTTCGTCTTCAACGTCTTTCGTCCACTGGCCATTTGGGGTGTTTTGGCGCGTGACAATTTCCTTCACCAACATCTGTTCACCTCTCTGTGTCCATCACGGTGTCTTTTAAACTGAGGAAATTTCCATCCTGTCGAGCGTTTGAGGTTTGACGTCCAGTCAGAGGGTGGACTTCATCCTCCCCTAGCAGCGTTTTTAGTTTAATTTATTAGGTATAGCCCTGTGAGCCATTCGGCTCTTGAATCGGGTGCAACCGCAAAATAAAAACACGAACAAGAAAACATCTTAAAGTGACTATGTGTGACTGTGCAAACAGAAAAATCCAGGAAAAAAACAGCTAAAATCTTCCAGAAAAAGCACCGTACACCAACGCTGTGTGCAAAAAAATCCCAGTGGGATGCAAGTCAAACAACAACAACAACCACAAGACAACTTAGATGTCGAGTGTGTGCTGCTGGCCAGCAGACGGCCACTGTTCACCCTGTGTGGTCTGGGGCATTAAAATCCCTGCACTTGAGCTGACTCATGAGCTCCACCTGCCCTGCGGACGATTTCATTCTCAAATTGCCTCCTCGAGATATTTTCCATCGTGCCTCTCCCAATCGCACTATTGGCGCGATGTCATGGGCAGGACGTTTCCATTGAGGGGTCTTCAAAGGAGCTGCGTGACGTCACCGCATCTATCAGCGCAGGGTGGCACACTTAGGGGCCGTCCATAAATGACGTCACGTACCTAGGGGGGGGGGGGGTCAGACATTTGTGACGATGTGTGACGAGGGGGGGGTGTTTGAGAAATGTGACGTCACATCAAAATGCGCAACTTTAAATAAGTATATAATTGTTATGACAACACTAATTGTTATAACAACACTCCTACAACATCAGAGTGCAGTGCCACATTAAATACGCACTACAATGACAATAGTTTAAAGCGATTTGAAGCATGGTTTATTTTCAAAATGGAAATATGGTTTTGGGGGGGGGGGCAGAGCTTTGTAACGTCATATTTGAGGGGGGGGTCCTGACTTTTTGTGACGCCGTGTGACGAGGGGGGGGGGGGGTCAAAAATCGTCCAAAATCGCGTGACGTCATTTATGGACGGCCCCTTACACGTCCTTTAAAGAGCCTCTGTCACGTGGCAGAAACAGATACATTTACAATGCTCATAGCTGACATCTGCTGAATTCGGTGTGTATAATGTGATTTTGCCATGGCGTAAAGGTTAGCACACTGGGTCTGCTGTCCAGAGGTCGCCGGTTTGACCTCTAAGCAAGCTGCTTAAATCTCCCACCCTACTGTCCACCCAGTCGTGTATAAAGAGCGCAGTTCCTGTGTGATGGGGCAAAGTGTGAGTACACACGCATGTATACTGCCTGACATGAATATATTACTCTTTGGTTCTTTCGGCAAAGTCATGTAGGTATAAAAATAAAACAAAAACATATTTTTTGTTTTATTTTTTATACCTACGTGACATTACCGAAAGAACCAAGGAGTATGGATTCCTGCAGTCACGAAAGCTTCAAATCAATAATGAATATATTAATGAACTGCATGTGCATTAAGACTGCAAAGCGATTCATCTTGAGCTCTTAACTCATGACATAAGGACGCATCTATTAAAAGTGCTTCTCAGAATCCCGTGCAGTGCAAAAATAAATCGCACTACCTCTAAACTCGTCTTATGGGACTGAAATATTTAATATCTCATGCCATGCTTCCTCCCAGAACAGGGATGAAATGGAACTTCAGTAAGCTGGCTTTGCACTTTCGCGTCTCGAAGCTGTTGTGTAACCAGGAGCGATGACACAGTGGGATTGCATTCGCTATGGTGGCGTGTCGCTGGGCTCACAACCCAGCATGAGATGGCTTCTCCGTAGCATGAGTTAGCCTGGAACAGCCCAATGCGATTTGCATGTAATTCATGAACAGAACCCACTGTGTGCATTTCTGCAAGGTTGCTTAACTATGCACCGTGTCCACAGGGCTGCTACCTAACCATGCTGAAATCCTTCCAAATGTACGTGTACGTGGTCGGGGCGGTTGGCATCGGAGTGTTGGCCATAGAGGTACTGACATTCCCCCACCGTGACACATTTCAGACACATCCGCACCACCGCTGAGTGTGGCATTGAGATTGTTTCGGATTAGTGTCATAAATGTTAATTAGCATTAATAACTTTCACCGAGAGTCCATAGCACCCAACACACGCACATATGCATCGACGCATGAGCCTAATGATTGCCACTGTCTGACACTCTAGAACCATGCATTGCAAGAGTAGCTAAATGCACAAAATCACATTTGATAAGATTTTCGTGATGCCAAAATTGCAATTCATATGAATATGTTTTAAGAGTTATTCCAATCGCTGTGGAGCGATGTGGCATCATGGTTAGTGCAATCCCTGTTCACCAAGATCATAACGCTACGATTTTGTGTACCCACACATACGAGCCCCATAACGTTGGTGGGGACGGAGGGGGAGTTCTGGATGGGACCGAGCCCCCGATACAATTAAGCTATGGGCATCACAGACTACCATCATATGGAGCAGGATGCAGGATAGACACAAGCAGTTTGTATCGTTATTCACTCTGTTTAGTGGTTCACGTTCATTTAAAGTCTGCGTGCATTGACAAGTGTAGTGCCCGCCCCGAGTGTTTGTGTCGTCCGCCTCCTCCCCCTTTAAACAAGGTCACACACCACCGGGTTGATTGGCACACACGCGCTCCATATTTACCTGCTTTCATTATTTTCACCCAGGCGTGAACACCGTGAATTCCCGTTGTCACTGATTCTCCGTGCTTCTGTGTCTGTTTCTCTCCCCAGCTCTTCGCCATGATCTTTGCGATTTGTTTGTTCCGGGGAATCGATTGAAGCCTCGTCGACGCATCTCTGCTCGCCGCGTGCAACTGCCACGGGGCCCACCACAGATAACGAATCGACGAGGATATATTTTTTAAAATCACAACTAGCTTCGAAGCTGTGTCGTGTGCAATTGCGTTTTAATTTATTGTGTATAGAATGTATTTGTACGGTGGCTGATTGTACAAATGAGTGGAAATTTTGTCCAAGCGTGCTGTTGCACCGTTACTTGGACGCTAGGGATTTATTTACCATTTTTATTAGGTTTTTTTTCCTCTCTGGGTATCCAATTTAATCGTGTGTAATGTTACCGAAATAGACCTTTTTAACATTTTCGGTAACAGCAAATATTTAGAGTAACTAAGTACATTTTAACGAGTAACGTTTTTGTTGATTACATTCAACACACATGGAGGCAATCCACGATCATCTTACTTCACATCTGGAAGCTATCATTGTAAATAGCTCTCTCCAATAGATAACGATTTCATTAAACACTGGTTGTATAATACAGGCTCAACTCGTGTGAAAAAACTGCCGAAATTAAGAGGTGAAAGTATGACATGGAATTAATTTGTATACTTTATTTTGATCTCTGCATATATATTTAGTTACCTTAATTAGACACACATGCTAAGGTTTTCTTAGCATGCTTTGAAAGCACTTAGTTTTCCTTTTGTTTTACGTACGTGATGTAGTGTTCAATTGGTAACAGATACATTTTGAGTCAAACTAAAGTATTTAAAGAGTTGCAATACTGCATTTTAATTCAAAGGCAATATTACAATAAACATGGAAAGCCTGTACCAAAAATGTAATGAGTGACAATGAAAGTTTCTTGTTTGCCAAATACACTCTTTTCGTGTGCATAAGAATTGTAACAAGCTTACTTATTATACCTTGCTGTGGAACGTAAGAAAGTCCAAGATAGAAATAAAAACGTAAATATATGTTTATAAATAAAGGTTTCGCCCAGGTAATAAATACACTATTACATGTTAAATATGCCATATAAAAATAAAGAATATTTTTTTTCTACATTAAAAAATAAATAATTAGCAAAGCCAGTGTTATTATTTTATTACTTCTGTTCTTTATCACAGTAGTCTAGGAGAAGACCTTTGAAATAATGAAATGGATGTAGTATTCTGAGAGCTCAAAATTATAATAATAATAAAAAAGGCGGCAGATAATTCAGTAATACCCTTGAGAGATTGAAGCAGAACAAACCCACCATTGAAATCCAAAAAGACAGGAAGCGTATGTGATGTGGATATGTTGAAATGTTCAATGGGATTGCCTTATGGGAGGTCTGACTCGTAACGGATTTTTTTGGTTTGGCAATAGTCCCAAAGTGTGATGATGGAAAAATGCAAAACCTAACGAAAAATGCAATCCAAAAAACGAAAAAGTCTTAGATAAATGTCATGGGGTGTCGAAAATCGGTTTGAATCTTTGTTAATAAGAATTGAAAGTCATGGCCATATTAATTTGAGTTGTTACCGTCATAGTAACATCTCGTGACATCACAATTACGCTGGGGTGCTGTCAACACCATTCACAAGGGTTGAAAGCCCCGTTACATGGGCGACTTCGTGACCCGCGGTGCATCATGGGAGCTTCTCCACGGAACTCGTAAGCACACGTCGAGGACTTTGATAGCCATAATGGTGGCAGGGTGGAGCGGTGGCGCAGTGGTTAGCACAGTGAGTTTAATTCGCAGGCACTGCTCCACGTGGGTTGCGACATCTGAACCGATCCCTAACGTGGTGAAGTATGGTCAAACAACCCCCACGACCGACACGGTGTGGGGATGCCCTCATCCAGTCGAGAATTGACAAAGGGATATTATTTATATGTTATCATCATTATAGTGGCACTTTGTCCTGTAGCCAGGAGCCAGGAGTTGAGTGGTGAAGTGGACAACCACTGCATTGCCAAGTATTACTATATTCATAAATAAATAAAATGGCCTGCATTTGTTTTGTGGGTTGCATGTTCATTTAGGTTGGTTAAATGTTGCCATAACTCTGCTGAGCTTTTGCCCTTGTCCAGAGTTCTGCTCCAATTGGTTATCCATTGGACACAATCGAATAAGGCCCCTCTTTGAAAATGTCCCAAATGATGTGGGTGAAATTGACATTGCTGAGCAGTAGCAGTACAGACTGTGGCTGAGTTTGATTTTCAACGATTTGTTTTCTGCTCAGCTATTAACTATGTTATGGTGCTTATGTCAGCTATTGTTGAACTTATTATGTGTGACCAACTTTGCTGGCCCAATTGTCAATGTTATTCATCCCAATGGCGTTTCACAGACTGTGATGCATTCCAGGCTGCAGGTTTATGAACGGCAAATGAAAGGTCAGGTATTGTTTGGTCGAGTTAAAAAGTGTTTAAGAGAGACGAGGAGATTTTGTTCTGACTTCTGAATCTTGGCCAACAGGCTAATTTAAAAGGGCAATGTTTTATAATCTGCAGAACCATTTACTCAAGAGAATTTAGCAATTTATTTAGTAGATTCGCCTACTCAATTATTAAAATGTTTTGACTGCTAACCGAATGCAATTCCGGTCATGTTTAAATTTGAAGGCAATAATGTGACATGAGCTTAAATGACAGTGTTATTTAGAAAAGTGAACAATATGCAAATGAGGGCATATCTGCAGATTTAACTTATCCTCATTAATGTTCTCCAGATTCACCCCTAACCATTGACCTAGTCTACCAATCACACCACGCTCAGCCAATGAAACAACATCCGCTGTCGCCATGGCAACTCAGAAAGTCCTGGCACAGTGTGGTGTGAGGGGTAGAGCTCCGAGAGACATCAGAATCCAGGATATTGCATTTGAGAATAACCTCACTTGACTGAGCCTCATCCCATGCGATTAATATCAAATGCGCCCTTCCACACTCTGCCCTGCAGAAGTCCCGTGGCATATTCCACAATAACTCACAGTGGCATAATCTTCTGACCAAAGGGGACAGGGTATAGTCACTGAAGAAATGGGTTGGCCGTGATGGATGAATGTCGAGATGCGTGTATGACATCGAGAGGCATTGCTGCCGATGCAAGGCGATGGCTAGAGTCACATCGCGGTAACGCGTGCCTTTGTTCTGCCGTCCCTGCGTGAACTCCACCGTGAGCTGTCACGTGAAGTTATTGTCCCAGCGCAGATGTTCGTCAACAGTGGTAAAATGCCTTGCCCTTGGCTTGTATATTTCTAGGATTCTTTTCCTTTGCTTGTTTCACTCTGATTTAGAAAGACCTTGGGAAGATTTGGGCCCAGCATATTGGAAGGAAAAACAATCGTTAGTGAAAAAAATATACACACGTTTGATGAAAATAACTTGCATTAAGATGAATAATCTAATCAACATATGGTCTTCAAGAGCATGTAGATTTTTTTTTTTTTACAAATTAGCATTTTTGTGATACGTTTTCCATACAATGCATTTTTATATAATAACATTTTCAGCCAGGCAAGTTGTGGCACACGCCTGAGATCCAGCACTGGGTGTCGAAGAGGCGTCACACCCTGGCTCGCAGGAGAGGGCAGTACAGCACGTTGACTCATCGCTATCTGTTTCCATCTGTACGAGGATGGGGTGTTACCGCCTTGTGCACACGTGGGTTTTCTCCGGGTGCACTTGTACAATAAAAACACTCGTTCATTGGCTGAAAGCATCTTGATATAAAAAAACCCGAATGCAGAACCCTCCTGCAAAAAAGAGTCTTACGGCTCAGTGTGGTTTTCCTAGGGGCGTAAATAATAATTGTACGATATGTTTGTTGAGACCAATTCAACTGTTGACATGTATTTAATTGGTAACGTTTTACTGCTAATTTTACATAAGTATGCCCTGTAGGCAAACCTTTTACAGCACGATTTTCTCACACCAAGATTCAAACAAGTGCTTTATAACAAGTCCTACATCAGTAATTTCTTTTGTATTTTAAAGGTAACATCACAATACTGGTGATGTGTTGCTGTTATGAATATCAAGGAAAATATATTGTATGTATTGCTGTGCATCACATACGTCGTACCGCATATGATTAAAAGCGAAATATTACACGCGATTGCAAGTAAGATGACATTTTATTACATAATCATGCAGCAGTTTAAATGATTAAATGGTGCATTCCAACGTACACATGCTGAGTTGAATAGGGAAATAAAGAAATGTACCGAGATTGTGAGTGACGCTTTTAAAATGCTATAAAAAAAGACTATGTAATAATTTGTGTGCTTTTGGCTTCTTCTCGGCAATCGGATGAGTATTTTCTTGTTTCGAATTGAGCTCAACAAAAATAACGTTGCACAATGGTAACCCTAGTGACTCACACAAAGGAGCCCTGGGTTCAATTCCAAACACTGGTGCTCCTTCCTGTGTAGAGTTTGTACGCTCTCCTTATATTCTCCATAGGTTTCCTCCCATAGCTAAAAATAATAATTAATACACTATAACAAGTGTTGGTCAAACATCCCAGTGCTAAAATAATGCCTGAAAATTACTCAATATGGATTACACACAGTAGCAGCATCGCAGCCTACTGCAAAAAAACTTGGTAGGACCTATGCATATACTTAGCTCTTTCGGTAGAGTCACGTTGAAGGGCAACAATAAAATAATAAATTATATATAAAACAATAAAAATTCTCACGACGTTTCGACCATAACACAAACGGTCGTCATCAGGTGGTAGGACCTGCCGAATACAGAGTTTTGAGACTCAAGCGAAGCTTTCCTGGGTAACCAAGTGTTTTTTTTCCTGCACAATGAATCCAAGAACTTAAGTTTGATTCCTGGCAATGGCCAACTTCAGCTCTGGGGAACCAATCCTCGACTTCCCTTCGTCTGAACAGCTTGGTAAGTACTATAATCATATTTATTTATACTGGAGGAATCCGGTGAGCAATAAAGCTATTATTCACGGATTTCCAGTCAGGGCGGGTAGAACGTTAAAACAACAAACAACACAAAAACATGATAGGACTGCAAAGTACAATAAAGGTGAACAAATCACTCAAACAAATCCCGATTTAAAGCTTTCGTGACTGCAGGGATTCATATTCTTGGTTCTTTCGGTAAAGTCACGCAGAAGGGAAATAATAAAATAATAAAAATACAACATAATAAAATAGTATTTCCCTTCGACGTGACTTTATCGAAAGAACCAAGAATATACATACAAATCCCACTGAGGTTCAAAAGTGACCTGGCCACGAATGATAGCTCAACAAAATGGCTTATCATTTGGACATTAATCGCAGCAAAATAGTCTAAATGCATGTTTCTAAATATGGAGGGAAAAACTGGAGGACCCGGTGAAAAAATCCACGTGACCACGGGGAGAAAATGCAAACTCAAAATATACAAGCTTCAGGGTCAGGATCGAATCTCCGATCTCCTGCATACCAGGCGTGGAAGATCACATCTCAGCAGCCATTCAAATAAAAACAGTATAAAAGTAACAATTGCATCATCAATTCCAAACTTTAGAAGACAGCAAAAGAAAAGCAAAAACAGTCCCAGAACAACACCAAGATGAAAAAACAATTGTACTTTAAGTGTGGTCGGACAACCCCTAATGGCTTGGGGAAGCCTTCATCCAGAGGTGGATGAACAAACGCCTTAACGTTGTAATTGTGTTGTTATTATGTGTTTTTGCAAGTCTGGTGTTACATTGGCATCGTGCATACGTAAGATATCACTGTGGGTGGACCGATCTATCTCAAGGATGGTTTGATTTACAATTCAGAGTTGCTATCCCATCAGAGACTCAGTGGTAATGTGAACCCATTACATACAGCATCTGAATAAAATACGATGATTCTTACGCATGTGATCGTTCATTATATATTGTGAGCTTCAGGACCTATATTAATGGATTCATCGATGCATCATTCCACTGATAATACTGACACTGCGCTTAACGTTTGCATGCATGCTGTTGTCTAGTGGTGTTGAAGTTATGAGGTTAATTGTCTGCAGAGTTTAAGACACCCATACACTAGCTGTCAAATCGCATATCAAACAGCTGGGTTGCAGGGTTGGTGGGTCATGATGTGATGTGTTGGAGACGCCAACCCATTCAGTAATGCCTGTAGGAGACAGTAGAGAGAGATGTGCCACGACCACGGAGCAACTCCGCAAGCGCCGCGATTGTCCACTACCCTCACCCTCACTTGCACCCACGTAGTGTCCCCGCGGGGGATTGCCTGGCACGTCGGGTTTTCATCCAAAGGGCCCATAGAAGGAAAGTCCCACGGCTTCCCGGTGCCAGGAGATTGGCCGACCCTCGCAGGACAGGTTACATTGCGATGCCCCTAAAATTGGTTTACAATTGTATGGGCGCAGAAAGCAAAGGTTCCCTGGGCCAACCGCAATAAGTTACTCACAGCAGTGGGGGAAGGACGGAGGGCGGAATATTAAGCAAGCAAAAGCGCAAGAGCCCTTCCAGACAATGGGCAACGAGGAACAATGGGTGACCGCCGCCGCTGCGCAGCACTCGAGGGAGGACACGGTAACAGGGGGGGCGGTAACCACAGGTAAGCAAACGATTGGCCGCGCGGTACAATCGCTAAGAGGTGGCGATTGGTAAAGTTTTCTCTCGTCCTTCTCCCTCTGACTCTCACAGCGTCCGTGCGACTCACCTGCGATTAGCACAGTTGGCTATGTACGGTGCAAAGAAGTTCAACAAACATACACCCGACAACGAGACTCAACACCGCCCATTCACAACCATTGTGAGCATCAATAATCCAGGTTTTTTGGGTTAGATCGTGTAAATATATAAATGTGTCGTTAAACCCGCCACCACCTGACACAGTCAATTAGTAAGGTCTGTCAAGTAAACAGAGCATGCCAATTCGTTACTAATGTAGTAACATAAAATGGGTTACTACGGCGCGTAGCGCTGGTTACTGACAGAGAGAGAAAATATGGGAGTAACAGCCGACCTGCCAGCAGAGCAGGGTGTGGCAGCTGTTCTGCCAGCAGAGCATGCAATGCCACAGAGTGGGTCACTCGGGCGCGTGGCGTTGGCTGCTGGCAGAAGGGGGCAAATGAGGTCGTGGCACCCCGGCCGGCTGGTGGAGCACGTGATAGGGCGGGGTAAAGGATGCGGGGCAAAGGTGACCGAGGGGACACGTGAGGTTTAGCCCAGAAACTTCTGGTGGGTTCCAGAAGGGGGCGTATCCAAGTGCGGAGCCAGGCAGGGGACACGTGGAATGGTGGCCCAGAAGGGGGCGTGTTCGAAGGCGGAGCCAGGCCACGCCGGGGGGCATAAAAGGGAAGTCCTGAGGCTGGATAAGGGCTGTCTGCCGATGGAATGGAACCCAAGGTGCTATGTCTTCGTCTCCGGCGTCGTGGGTCAGACAGCGTGCTGAGCCATTTATAGTTACGGGCCGTCCATAAATGACGTCACGCACCTAGGTGGGGGGGGGGGGGGGGGGGGAGTCAGACATCTGTGACGATGTGTGACAAGGGGGGGGGGGGGGTTTGAGAAATGTGACGTCACATCAAAATGCGCAACTTTAAATAAATATAGACAACACGTTCTGCTTAATTAAATAGGCTTTTTAATAAATGTTTTCTCCTACAACATCAGAGTGCAGTGGCACATTAAATACGCACTACAATGACAATAGTTTAAAGCTATTTGAAGCATGTTATTTTTGGGGGGGAGGGGGGGGGCAGAGCTTTGTGACGTCATATTTGAGGGGAGGTCTGACTTTTTGTGACGTCGTGTGACGATTGGGGGGTGGTCAAAAATCGTCCAAAATCGCGTGACGTCATTTATGAACGGCCGCCAAGCCACAACATTTACAATCTGAGTACGATGTTTCGCCAGTAATTACAACTAGCTTCATCAGGTCACATGCTAATTACTGGCGAAACGTCTGTCGGATTTAAAATTTTAAAAACTTAGCTCTCCAACACACCGGTGTGCTGTACTAATAACGAATTGGCATGTTCTGTTTACATGACAAACCTTACTAATTGACTGTGTTGGCTGGTGGCGGATTTAACGACATATATTTCTGCGATCTAACCTAAAAAACTGTATTATTGGTGATATTGGTCGCGAAAGCCCATGTGTTAAACGTTGTAAGCATATTTTCGTGGTCAAGCCTTAGTCTCGGGAAGATTTCAACGAATGATCACATTAGGGCTGACAAAAACACATGTACAATTCGGAAGGAAGACAAGAGTGGGTGTGTTAGAAATATACTGGTCCCCGGCATTAAAGTGTGGAATATACCATCGCTAGTTCAGGACTGCTAATAAAGACGACGAGTATTACGACTATGTATGTTTTACTTTATATTTCACATATGCCATTGCCAATAATCCTGCTATGTGTCTAAATTGCCAAACACGACGTTACTCTACTGCAGGGAACACGTATGCACGTATGTTAAACTTCTTTTTCACGGTACATAGCCAACCGTGCTAATTGGAGGTGCGGGGGAAGGTCAACATAAAGACGACGAGTATTACGCAATTCTATGAGATCAATGAGGCATGTTGTAATTAATTGACTCCCGAACCAAAGGAAGCCCGCAAACTTAACTCATCATGAATGAGTGAACACACTCGATCTGCAATCAAGACGTTGCCGGCTCCATTTGATCTCGCAGCACAGATTTGAATGGCACGCCATATAGTCAATTCTCTGGCCAGTATGGAAGAGGCCAAATGCCCTCTAGGGGGACTCTTGTTCTCGAGAGAGAGTGGAGGCTCTTCCCACCAGCAGTGGAGTGAGGAAGTAATTTCAGACATTCACCTTTACAGTACAAATCATGTTTTTTTCTTTCCCATTCGCTTATGTGGCCGTCTGGCACGCTATTCCTTCAGATATAATGAAGCCACTGGATCTATGCACTTTTAATTCTGCTGTATATTGAAAATAAATGTATTAAAAACTGATTTTTATGTTAAGTTTGTTGTCCTTCCCCCGCACCTCCAATTAGCACGGTTGGCTATGTACCGTGAAAAAGAAGTTTAACATACATGCATACGTGTTCCCTGCAGTAGAGTAACCTCGTGTTTGGCAATTTAGACACATATCAGGATCATTGGCAATAGCACATGTGAAATATAAAGTGAAACATATATAGTCGTAATACTGTAATTGAACTTTCCTCATATGATTGAGCATATAAAATAATTAGCATAAATTATGATTTACTATGGCAATGGATGCAAGAGGATTATACAGGTTTACACATTAC